AACAGTTGAGATCATATATAGAGTTTCTAGTATTCTACAGAAAAATAGAAATGTGTTATAATGTTCAGAATCTTCAGATTTCAGTCCAGGGAAAAACAATCATTTTCTAGTTCATCCATGACTGTACTGATCAACAATACAACATATCATTCAACATATGAAACTTAGTTTGACATTTACCTCTCCCTGTTTTAAAGAGATCCAAAATTTGATGTATTTCAACAAATTTCTTTTAGGCCTTTATCTATTATTAACTCCTTGAGAAGGGCCTTCTGCTGGTGATTTAAAGGACAATTTTATCTACAGTTCACCTCTGAGCTTTTTATGAAGCACCCATGTTCACAAGGTCATATAAGGTCTCAAAAACCCAAAATTGGACTTATTCAGAACATAAAGGAGATGACGATTTTCAAAAAGCACATGTTTATGACATTCTCTTCGCAAAATTGTTTGAAGAAACAAAACTGACATCAGAAGCTGTAATCTAAGAAAAAAATATGTAACCATGAAAGACAAGAATCTAGTTAACCAATTTACAAATTCAGGTACTATGCCCTATGAAATGAAGATATTATATGTGTTTATATATAATCCAACTGATACCTTTAGGTTCCTCCGTTGGAGAAAGAAGGGAAAATGATTCAAATAGACAAGACATTCTCTTAATTGCTCCCTCCGATATGGATCTTTTGAGAAGCTGTAGAAAGTAAATACATAAAAATGAGAAATTTGGCCTCTTAAAACCATTATAAGAACACATCTAGAGCAGGAATATGCATCAACATTATAAGAACACATCTAGAGCAGGGATTGTTAGCCCTTATGTTTTGATGATGTTCTTACAACCACCATTATCGGTACTAATGACTTATTAAGTGTAAATGTAGTAAACTCATTTGTCAAGCTCATTAGTGCCATTAATGGAGGACGGATGGAATATATGCTACAACGAAGATATCCAAAGGAGGAGGAGGCCAAGAGATGAAGCAACGTTATTTCAAGAACGACAAATTCGACTAAAAGCTTCATCCTATTAGCTTTCTTTTGTTTTTCTCTCTAGTGCTAGAATGTAGGCAAAGAGTTACTGAGTTTACTTGAAGCTATTGGGAATCACACACACGTTTTTAGACTTGTGCTTTTAAGCGTTTTTCACAAAATACTATTTTTCACAAGTATGAGTACCTATCTGCAAAATTCTTTTTCCAAGCAGTTTGTTTTTAGTATTAAAAACATTTTACAAAGTTTCAGAATTTTCAGAGGTAAAATGAATATTTTGGAAATATTTCAACTTGGTCAAATAACCTGATTTCAGAATATGTCAGAAATCGGTCGACCGGTCCGGTCGACCGATCCGATGACCTTTCTTTCGCAAGTATGAGTACCTATCTGCAAAATTCTTTTTCCAAGCAGTTTGTTTTTAGTATTAAAAACATTTTACAAAGTTTCACAATTTTCAGAGGTCAAATAAATATTTTGCAAATATTTCAAGTTGGTCAAAAATCAGATTTCAGAAAATATCAGAAATAGGTCGACCAGTCCGGTCGACCGATCCTATGACCTTTCGCCAGTATTTTTCCAGAGAGTCGTCGGTCTACCGGTACGGTCGACCGAAATTTCAATCTTTAAATCGGTCGACCGCGCCGGTCGACCGATGAGTCTCTGCTTGTTTTCCATATTTTCCTTAGCTGCTCGCGGTCGACCGAATTTTTCGGTCGGTCGACCGAAGTGATTTTTTGGTCGACCGAAGAGAATCCGAACCAAGTGACTCGGATAGTGATGAAGAAGGAGCCAAACTTGCTCTTCATGACCCAAATGTTTGTTTCATGGCAAATGAACATGAGGTAATATCCGAGGCCGAAAGTGAATCTTTTTATATGCAATGTGACATAGCTATGGCTTTAGAAGAGTTGAACTTTGAATTTAAAAGAATGTCTAAAGAATACTCTTCTTTCAAAAAATTGCATGCCTCTTGTGATATTAAGCTAGAACAACTAACAACCTCTCTTGCTCTAAAAGATGAATTGCTTGGAGATCTCGATTTTGAGAACAAGCAATTAAGATCAAAGATTGAAAGACTAGAAATTGAGGGTTGTAGGACTAGACCCACTCATGCTTATGCCAACTACAATCACCATGGTAGAAATAGGTTTCATGGTTCTAACATTCGTACATACAAAAGAAATTTTGTATGCACCTATTGTATGAGACATGGACACATTTCTACTCATTGTAGAATTAAAGACAATGAAGATTTTTATGGTTTGATATGGGTACCCAAAGGTACCAAAACTACTAACCACCAAGGACCCAAGACATGGGTACCTAAAGCTACTACACCTTCATCTTCTTCTTTTGTAGGGAACGTCACGGCAACGACGTAAGGAGATGTGGTACCTTGATAGTGGTTGCTCACATCATATGACGGGCAACAAAGAGTTATTTGCAACCCTATCAAGGATTGAAGGAGGCAATGTCTCCTTCGGTGGTGGTGAGAAAGGTAAAATCATTGGTATCGGTTCTATTGGTAAGAAACCCTCACCCATTATTGAAGATGTTTATTTAGTAAATGGCTTGAATCATAATCTTCTTAGCATTAGCCAATTAAGTGATAAAGGTTTTGATATTTCTTTTAAACCGGATAAATGCATCATTAGTATGGATGGAAAAATTGTTTTTATTGCAAATCGCAAGTCTAATGTTTACATTTTTGAGATGAATGAGTTAGTGAATCAAGATGTGAAGTGTCTTGCGGCAATTGATGAAAATCCTTGGATTTGGCACAAGAGACTTGGACATGCAAATATGGAGTTAATATCAAAATTGTCTAAGAAGAATCTTGTGAAAGGGCTACCTAGCTTGCACTTCATAAAAGATACAATTTGTGAGGATTGTGCCAAAGGTAAACAAACAAAGTCTTCTTTCAAATCCATCCATGAGGTATCGACTTCTAAACCCTTGCAATTACTTCATCTTGATTTATTTGGTCCTATGCGTGTTACCTCTCTTGGAGGCAAACACTATGTTTTTGTGATTATTGATGATTTTTCTCGTTTTACATGGACAATATTTCTTGCTAAGAAAAATGATTGTTTTGAAGAATTTGCTAATCATGTTAAAAGAATTGAAAATGAAAAGGATTTGAAAGTTGTTAAAATAAGAAGTGATCATGGTGGTGAATTTCAAAATGAATTTTTCTATGATTTTTGTGCTCATCATGGTATAACTCATATGTTTTCCGCTCCTAGAACACCACAACAAAATGGTGTTGTTGAACGGAAAAATCGTACCATACAAGAGATGGCACGCACTATGTTAAACTCATTTGATTTACCAAAATATTTTTGGGCGGAAGCCGTCAATACGGCTTGCCCTGTTTTAAATCGTGTTTTGATTAGACCAAAGCTTAAGAAAACTCCTTATGAACTTTATTATGGAAAAACTCCTTTCATTGGTTATTTTCGTGTCTTTGGTTGCAAATGCTTTATTTTAAATACAAAAGATCACCATGATAAATTTGATTCCAAAATTGATGTTGGTATTTTCTTGGGTTATGCACCTCGAAGTAAGGCTTATAGGGTCTTCAATAAACGAAGCCTCGTTGTTGAAGAGTCTATAAACGTTACTTTTGATGAGACTAATGTTGGCTCTCAAGTTGTGTTGCCTAGGAAAGATGATGATGATGATATTGAGGGAGGATTGGACTTGTTGCAAATCAATGACACTCCCTCTATAGAAGTTCAAAAGGATGTGGATAGCACAAACGCTCAAGATCAAGTTGAACCACCTAAAGCTTGGAAATTCACATCAAATCATCCAAAGGAACAAATCATTGGGAGCCCTTCAAAAGGAGTTATAACTCGCTCAAAAGCCTTGAGTGAATGTGGTAATGTTGCATTTCTATCTCAACTAGAACCTAAAAAGGTTAATGATGCTTTAAATGATGAGTTTTGGGTTTTGGCTATGCATGAAGAATTAAACAATTTTCAAAGAAATGAAGTTTGGAAGTTAGTTCCTAGACCTAACAATGCTAGTGTTATTGGTACAAAATGGGTTTTTAGAAACAAACTTGATGAACATGGCATTGTAACTAGAAATAAAGCACGTTTGGTTGCCCAAGGATACAATCAAGAGGAGGGCATAGACTATGATGAAACCTTTGCACCGGTTGCAAGGTTGGAATCTATTAGGATGTTTTTGGCATTTGCTAGTTTTAAAAATTTCAAACTATTTCAAATGGATGTCAAAAGTGCTTTCTTAAATGGTTTTATAGAAGAGGAAGTGTATGTTGAGCAACCCCCCGGTTTTATAGATCATGCTTTTCCTAATCATGTTTACCGGGTACAAAAAGCTTTATATGGGTTGAAACAAGCTCCTAGGGCTTGGTATGCTCGCCTCTCTAGTTTTCTTATTGAAAATGGTTTTTCAAAAGGAACAATTGATAACACACTTTTTGTGAGAAAAAGGAAAAATGATTTCATTTTGGTTCAAATATATGTGGATGACATTATTTTTGGTGCTACTAATGAATCCTTGTGCAAGGAATTTTCTAAAGTTATGCAGGATCACTTTGAGATGAGTATGATGGGAGAGCTTACATTCTTTCTCGGGCTCCAAGTCAAGCAAACTAAGGATGGGATCTTCATTTCACAAAGCAAGTATGCGAAGGAATTGGTGAAGAAATTCAAGTTGGAGAATTCTAAGCATGCGCCTACTCCCATGAGTACTAGTGTTAAGCTTGATGCGGATGAGAGTGGTGAAGATGTGGACCAAAAACTATACCGAGGTATGATAGGTAGTCTTCTTTATCTCACCGCTAGTAGACCCGACATCATGTTTAGTGTATGTGCTTGTGCACGTTTTCAAGCCTCTCCTAAAGCATCTCATTTAATTGCGGTTAAAAGGATCATTAAGTATGTTAATGGAACTTTTAACCTTGGTTTGTTTTATCCAAAAAGCACCACTTTTGATTTATATGGTTTTTGTGATGCCGACTTTGCCGGATGTAAGGTAGATCGCAAGAGTACTAGTGGAACATGCCAATTCTTAGGAAATTCCCTTGTTTCTTGGGCTTCCAAGAAACAAAATTGTGTTGCATTGTCCACTACGGAAGCGGAATACATTGCCGCCGGCTTATGTTGTGCTCAAGTTTTATGGATGAAACAAAGTTTAGTTGACTATGATTTGAATTTTCAAAATATTAAAATCTTTTGTGATAACACAAGTGCCATAAATATTTCCAAAAATTCGGTTTTGCATTCTAGAACTAAGCATATTGACGTGCGCCATCATTTCTTACGCGATCATGTAGAGAGACAAGATGTATCCCTAGTATTTGTTGACACCAAATCTCAACTAGCGGATATATTTACTAAGCCTCTTGGAGAGGATGATTTTTGTCGCATAAGAAATGGTTTGGGCTTATGCACTATGTGAAAGTTCTACATTGCTTGCTTGACTAGTTGTATTTTGCATTTAGTATTTCTCTTTACCCCATTTTTGATGGTGACAAAGGGGGAGAGAAATCTCCTCATTTGTTGCATATATTTAGGGGGAGCTCATAGATAGGGGGAGCACCTATCTATAAGCTATCTTATTTTTGCTCTTATATAATGGTTGGTTGTCATCATCAAAAAGGGGGAGATTGTTAGCCCTTATGTTTTGATGATGTTCTTACAACCACCATTATCGGTACTAATG